TGCAGAAAGAGAAACACTGCATGTCCTCACTCATAAGTGGGATCTGAATTAATAAATAAGCAAAGAAATAATAAAGAGAGAAAAAAGAAACAGTGATCGCAATAATATGGTGAACTTTCTGGAAGGAGAGAACAGAACTATGGTTACTAGGAGTGGAAAGAGGGAGGAGTGGGAGAGAGGGAGAGGGGTTAATGAGAAATTAATGAGAAATTGGTTAACGGACACAAAGAATGATTATGTATTGTAATGATGAATAACCTAACTATCCTGATTTGACCATCACATATTGTAAACAACTACTTACAGTCAACTTGAACCTACAAATATGTGTAATCAATTATGCTTCAATAGACAAATAAAAATTGTATGCCTTGTCACCTGCTTAAAAAAAATTGTGACTGATACTGCTGTTTCCTTAGACTCTGCCACCAAATACATTAAGGAAATTTCTGAAGAGGAAGGAACACATGATATATTCATGGGAGCAACTAACAATTGGTTTGCAGGCGTCCTAAATGGTGCATGGCAAGCTCGGGTTTTCCAAGGTTTTCTAATTTTTACATTTCTTCTATTAGGTCTCCAGGTTATTATGACTCGGGTAACTAGGCTAACAACAAATATGAATGCTTCTTTAAATTAGTCCACTTTACAGCACGCTATGGTCCTTAATCACTACCATACCCTATACAAGGACTATGACCAAACGGACTCAAATACTGTTGAATTGCCTGTATTGCATGAACCTTTACTTGTCTGTTTTGGTTTGGTTTGTTTCATCAGCACTCTTGTTTTAAGAGTACACTTTGGTCTTTTGATATTATCTTTTTGATAGTCATGATAGTCCCCCACTTCTCTCGAGTGTTAAATATTTTGTGTGCAACCATCCATCATGCATTGAATGGCGTCACTTTGATGAGATCAGCAATAATAACAGAGAATTGGTCAACTGGTGTGACATTGAGACTGACGAACTCCATATTCAGACCAAAGAAGACTGATGACTCCATAATGAAATCAAAGATGACTTGTAAATTCCACACTGAGACCAAATAGGTCATTTGCAATGGTGACAGAGAGTGGGCATCAATGCCCAAAGTTTTGGTCAATCTCTAAAAATTGAGAGGCTGACTCAAAGGGGGAAGTTGTTGAATCAAACTAAAAAGTTTTGGTCTCTGAAAGTCTCCATACTCACTCTTGAGCTCTTATGTGTAAACCTAACTTAGCATGTAAGCACATGGGCAAACTAACAACATAACTTAGGAGTGTGCTTCTGTGATGATAACTGAATTTCAGCCAATTGCAGGCAGGCAGTCAACTCTTCTATACCTCACTTCCTTTTTCTGTACCTTCACTTCCCTTTTTCTCTCTATAAATCTAACCTACTGTACACTTTTGGAGTAGGCTCTTAAGCTGTGCTGACTCTAGGAATTGCCTGATTCATGAATCATTTTTTTTTTCATTTCTTGCTCAAATTAAACTTAGTTAAATTCAATTTGCCTCAATTTATTCTTTTAACATTTGAGTCTACATTGGATGGGAAAATACTCTGAATGTTAGTTAGTTTCTATGCTAAAAGGTTTCATTGTTTTTTTTATCATAATTCCAAAGCTCATCTGAAGTCTTCCAGGTAACCTGAAATAAATGGCTGAATAATATTTTGAAATATTGACATGTTTCTTCTCTATTCTGTACTCACCAAAATCTTTCATTCAAACCAATAGAAGATCTTGTCACTCCTCTCCTGGCCTTGCACAGGTAAACATGAAATACTCACTGCAGAACCCAAAACAGAAGTTGCAAATACTAGACTACAAGGCTGAAATAAATTTTTGGTCTAAGCAGAGGAAAGAATCAGGCATAGATTTGGTGAGTGAGTGTTCCTACTTGTGGAGAACAGAAAAAAAAAAAAAAAAAACTCTGGGC